CCAGATTGTTGGGGGCAATATGCTGACTCTCTGTAAACCGCTTAGAGAGGCCTGAAAGGCCTATAAAGCGGTATATAAGTCTACTGCTATTGCTACTGCTATTGCTATTGCTATTGCAATGTCTCTGCATAAATACTTAGATTAGCAATTAGCAATTTGAGGTGCACTTAAACACTAGCTGGAGAGTTTCGACTAATTTATTTTAATTGCATGCATATAGATTATTAGGTAATTGTAGAGCACAACTCATGCATATAGTATATTAGTTGTTTGTAGAGCACAATTAAAAGTGCACCGTCTTCTCAAATGGTGACAAAATGTTTGCAACCAAATTGCCAAACTCAGAGCTCAAACAACCTAACTTCAACCCGAGCTATTAATATTCAAATACATTTCATGTAGTATATTTTTTTACTATGTCCACATTATTTCCATTAATATTACCTAAAGTCCAAATAAGACTAATTAATTAAATAAAGACAAATGAATTGATGCACAATATTTTATGTATATATATTGTAGATTATTATTATATATATATATAATATTGTGTATCAATTTATTTGTTTTTACTTCAGCATAACATGATTAAATATTCACTTTCTTTTTACTAGAGAAATGCCTTTTTATCTGATTCATTTAGGATTTTCATATTTTTTCATCTACTCGCACATATATTAAAGTTGAAATGTTTTGATATTGTTATGCAGTGTTCATTGCTTGTTGTTTTGACAGAGGCTGCTTTTACATTGCTTTTGTATTGCGAGCTACTACAGTGGGAGGACAGGCCTCTTCGGGAATTCCTCCACTATCCATCTCAGACAGAGTGGCAACGTAAAGAAAATCTTTGTCGGAAGATTATTCATTATTTTAATAAAGGCAAGGTCAGCAAATGTTATTAGCAATTATTTTCAAATTTTATTAGATATTCTTTTCTAAAGCCAGAATTAATGTTTATGCAAAATTACTGGAGGATACTCAGATATATTTACTTGTCAGGAGAATCATAAATTCATTGAATTATAGTGTATAGCCTGGATGTCAGCAGCCCATAGCTCCAGAGCCGCATGCGGCTGTTTGGGCCCTCTGCTGCGGCTCCCTGTCCCATCACTGGCTGGCCCCGTCCCTCGCCCTTCCCCACTCCCAGTCACTCCTTGCCTGGCCTGAGAAGGTAAGGGTGATGGCGGGGGATGGAGAAGCGGCAGAGGAGGTTTATTTTTATTGCACTGTAAACTAATGACAAAGAACAATACATTAACAACAAAAAAGACACTTTATAAAAGTGAAAAATACAATGCATAAAAATACAATGTATCATTTAAGTAGTAAATAGTTACAATTCTATATTTATGTAATCTAATTAGATACATTAGACATGTAATCTAATGCAATAATTGAGGGGCCTTTAGAGCTCTGAGTTTGGTTGTTTTCTTGTAGATGTTTCATTACCCAAACTACGTAACATCATCAGTGGAGTATCATTGATGATGTTACCTGGTTTGGGTAATAAAATGTCTGCAAGAAAATAACCATGCTTAGAGAGCCTCAAGGACCCGTCATTTCAACTCTGAGCCACAAATATTCTCCTTTATTAATGCAATTATTACTCAAGTACTGACATATTTCTAATATATTAATATAACTACCATGTTTTAATATATTGTATTTTGTCTAAATTCGTTCCATATTTAATTATATATTTCCACGCATAAATGTACATGCACAACTATAATTATTTTTCCAGTCTGAATATTTTTATTTCATTTTCATTTTCATTTTATACAATCACTTAAATTCTGGGCAAAAAAAAAAAAAAAAAA